CTACAATCATATAAGTATGTAGAAATGTTTCAAATGTTAAATGAGTAAACCCTGTTCATTGAGACTAGTCAGGAACTGTAAACAAATGCACGTACGTGAACATACTTAAACGAGATAGTTTTGCATAAAATTTAAATTTTTGGTTGTGTAATTCTGATCATTTTCTTTTCTCCACTGCTTAAACTATTTAAAAACTAACACGTTTCCACACAGGAGAATTATTTCTCAGATTTAGGAGCAGTGTCTTTTGAGCTCGACATTGTTTAGATATTTTGCGTAAAGTTATTTGTACCTCGTTCGGTTTTCAAATTACAGCCAATTTTCATAATTTTTTTGGAAACTGATGGCCCATATCTCTTCAGGGGTGAACATTTTACTAAGGCGATTTTTTGCAGATCGTGTTCTTTTGAAATGTAGATTCACTGGACTCTAGTATTATTTTATCTCTATGCGATTCGGAAGCTTCATAGCATTTATTATTATGAACTAAGCATTACATTATCAACAAAAAATATATTATACGGGGTACATCACTCCTCCCCCTTTAGAACGGACCATGGGGACCTAACGGTGCCACTGGGACGTCTTCGACTGGGTCTTGGGAATTTCCTCCTCTTTTTATCTTCCGAATATAAGTGTGGATTTTCTTCCGACAATGGATATAAATGGAAAATAGACATACAAAGATAATAATGGTCGTAATGAAGACGATCCATAATAGGTTTGATTGGTTGTCGGGGAGCGGCTCAATATAGTTAATTGAAAACAAATGATGGCTGGATTGGATAATCCTGTTGATACCCTCAAAATGGATGGATTTCAGCTTCAGCCCGTGATATCTCTTATTTGAAATGTCCATTTGACTGGGCAAAGGCGGTAGTAGGATTCCTGCTCCTACGTGAGTGGTTTGATCAGTGGAGGTTAAAAATGGGACATCATTGATCCAGATTTTGCACATGTTATCAATGGTGATTAAAGTTGGGGAACTTTTTTTCTCGGCTCCATTAATCCATCAGTAGCCTTCAGGGGCGCCGGGTTTTTAAAATTCCCGTGGGTGCAGGGGTGCTCCAGCTTTTTTAATGATATACCTAGCTACTTATATTTTTGTTATTATTTATATCAGTACTAGCTGACCTGTCCTCCACATGTCCTCCAGTCCCAATTCGTTCAATTGCGCCAGAAAAAACTCGGTTAGCATGGCCCTATAGCGCGCACCTTCCACTGTTGTCGTTTGACCAGCGGCGTCCTCGAAAAAAAATGGCCCGATGACTCCTCCAGCGTGAACAGCGCACCATGCAGTCACTTTGAGCGGGTGTAATGGCTCCTCGTCCATCACTCGTGGATTTTCGGTGCCCCAGAAGCGATAGTTTTGCTTGTTCACGAACCCGCTGAGGTGGAAATGAGCCTCATCGCTCATTATGATTTTGGTCGAAAAATCGTCCACTTCGTCCTCGAGATTGAGGATGGCTTAGCCGTAGGTTACACGCGTTTGGCGGTCGACATGCAGCAGCTGATGCACGGACTGGACTTTGTACGGGAACATGCGCAGGTCTTTGACCAAAATTCGCCTTAGGGACGACCGGCTGATGGCTAATTGCGAGGCACGGCGTCTGGTCGATGTTTCTGGCGACAGCTCGACATCCTCGGCAACAGCGGCGATATTCTCGGCAGAACGGGCGCTCCGGGGCCGGCCACTCTTGGCAGCGTCT